ATCTTGTCCCTCTATACCCTTCTTGTTCTGCTGAACTGTGAGAAAAAACTCAATAACCCTACAGAGATTGTCTCTTAGCTAGTCTGAAAGTCTAAAAAACCTCATGTATTCAGAATTAAATCACCCATATTGAATTCATTGCCCTGATATCAAGTAACTGTTTTCATGCAACCTTAACTATTTCATTTCACCCTTGTTCTTTCTCTTTCCCCTCTGCAGAATGTTTTCCCCAGTAAAATAACAGCAAAGACTCAACCCAAATTGCTGCTCCAATATGAGAAATAGTCACTGTTCTCTCAATGTACCAGCATATTTTAGTACTCTAGTATTTATGCCTAATAATATATACTGAAGGGCCAAATTTCCCCAGAGTATACACATTGCCAGTGTTCAATACTGTTATCTGCTCTTCTTTCATACCCCAGCAAAGACTGCCAAGTGCAGGTCCCTCAAGATTGGGAAACTGGTATCAGCTAGATTAGCACTCTTACACTCAAGGCAGGAATGACAGCTTCAAGTGAAATAGTCTAAAATGTCAGAACCATCAATAATGTTGCACACTTCAAGCAAATGCTCTTTCTCCTTCTAAATGATATTTGCATAAATGCAATGGTTATGTATATGAGGCACCAGTATTACTGGATTAATTATTTATCAGAAGAAATCTATTTTACTTACCTGCCTGCAGTCTTGCTGGCTTCTTTGCTTGGAGCAGCTATTCAGCAAATACTTAAGCTTTTCAAAATCTTTGTTCTGAAACAAGAGGAATAGGCAAATATTGGTCTCTGCAATTACATGGATTGCATCTCACCTTTCCCCGTGTACACTTAACATATTTTAGTTATAAAAGTTTCTGCAGAAGCCATGGGAAACATTTGAGACACGAATTTCTTTTTCTTCTGAAAAAGTACTGAAGTACATCTTCATCTATACAACAGATTCTTTATAAAATACAATAATATGCAGGTTGTGAAATACTTAAAGGAAAATAATTTCATTTGAATGCTTTCTGCTACACAAATAAAAACTCAGCCAACAGTTACAACTGTTCTATTTTGAGTTTCAGTTTTGTACAGTAGCTAATTTGGTATCTGCTTGATCCACTACAGAGTCCACGTCTGAAAGGTGTTGAGCTTTCTGGTCAGTTTTATTTTCTTATACTGCTTCAAGAATATAGGAAAAGGTAGAAAGACTGCATTGGGATTTGTCCTGGCAGATCATTACATCTGGTCAAACCTCCTGCAAGTGAAGAAGACTGTACATATACGCAAAGTCAACACACAAAGGCAGACTACAACAAAGTTGAGGACTGAATGGGTAAAACGAAGAATAAGTCTCCTCAAGTAGACAACATCCTGACAACATTTTGTGTTTGACGTCGCATACCACAAAAATTGGTAGGAATTGCGATATTTAACAGGATAAAAAGTAACACAAGTGAAACAACCTATTAGGGAAGAAACCATGTACTTTGCAGAGATAAGTCGTGGTTGTACATGTATTAAACTGTCCAAAAGATCTGACAATCATATTGACACGTTGTCCAGCTAATGGAGTATGCACAGATTTCCAAGAGATTTCTATCAGCTCTCACCAAAGTCTCTGAAGGGATCTAGAAATAGAGAGACTGACACAGCTAAGGCTGACATGGCGCAAAAAGGGAATTCCTGCCATGAACCCACGAGGAGGGAAAAGTGTTGAGAAAATGTTGCAATGCAGTGCTGCTGCACAAGCTGTTCTATCAGCTCTGTCCCCTGTATAGCCCCAGCCCAGGGCTGCATGCGCAGTCAACTGAATAGAGCATTAATAAAATGTTGTAACAAAGGTAATGATGTGCCTGACAGTTCAAAGGATGTTGATGTATGAGAAACTGGCCCTTAGCTACCGAAGCAATGGGAGATCTATCATTGTGACTACTAAGAACTGAGACGTACAGAACTTGAGGTAATCGCCCTTGAAGACTAAAAGAAAACAAACAACGAAGTGGTCGGACTCCAGAACAAGATGTGAAACCCACTGTCAAGATAATAATGACTGATAAAGTATAATTCTGTGTATTCTGGATTAGGTAATGCTTTGTAGGTGCATAAATACATGTATGCGAACTCATGTAAGCTGTCACTCTCTGCGGAGGTGACCCAACGCTGCTGGACCTGAATAAAATCCTAGAGTAACCCACGACGGAGTTCGAGTCTCCTTTAACAGTTTTGGCACCCCAGATGGGACTCTAGGCTGTGACGGGGAGGACGAATAAAAGAGGATCCCGATATTACATCCTACAAACTGCCGGCTACAGAAAGGTGAGTTCAAGTCTCCCCTTGTCTGTGTTTGTGGGTTGGAATAGGAAAGGATCACTCTGAAATACCCCTCACAAAGAAAATTGCAGAATGGGAGGATATCCTTCAGTACCTAAAGGATCCCCCTTGGCAGAATTATTAGCAAATTGGAATAAACTTTCTGGGACAGCAGGGTTGAGTAAAAGTAAAATTATAGTGTTATGTCAAGATGACTGGCCATTTTTAACCAGAATTAGAGGGGCAGGTCCCCAAGAAGTATGGCCACCTGAAGGTACCTTCGATGAAACTAGGTTGAAATGTTTGAGATTGATATTAGAAGATAGGAATCCGCAGCAGATGAATTATTTATTTTTATGGCTGGAATGGGCCGATTTGAGAAATCGTATGGCTCTAAAGAAACCTATGAAAAGAGAAGAATTAATTGCCTTCCTTGATGATCATCAGGGAAAGAATCAGAACCAGAGTTCCCATCCACAATCAGAAGGGAAATCTGTTGTAGGACAATATCCTATGGTAGTGGAATTTCATTCCAATCCTAGAGTAGGCCCCAACTCAGGACCTGAAGTTCCTCCAGTTATTGCAGTTTCCACACACCAACCCTGGAAACCTGGTGATTTAATGTTGTGGCAAGAAAAAATGCCGAGGTTAAGGGACAATGCTGAAAAATGCGCTAAGTTTTTTTTTTTTCTTCTTTTTCTGACAGTAGCTTGTCATATTCAGAAGAGACATGAATCAGGTTTTCAGTGACTTCAGTGAGCTCCTGCTGCAGTTCGTCAGTTGTTTCCTTCAATGCCTCTTACGCTTCTAAGAGTTGATATTCTTTCTCTGAAATACTTTCTTTCAGCTCCACAATAGTCTCCTGATGTTGTCTGAGAGAGCAATGAGCACATTTCAACTCCTCCTGCATCTCTGAATTCTTGCTAATTGTCTCCTGTATGGTTTCTCTTAACTGCTCTCTCTCATTTTGGAGATTCTCTAGTTGTATTGTAAGATTACCATCTCCACTTTCTGTCAGAGTGCTTGCTTCCTAACATTCAGGCAATTTTGGAATAAAATTGCTTCTCTCCAGTTTTTCAGATTCTCTTTGACATTCATTGGCCTTTACTTCCTCCATTTCATGCCATTTCCTTTTTGCCTGGCTCAGCTCTTCTCTCAGAAGAAATATTTCTTGCTCAGTAGATTCTTCTTGAATCTGAGGGATCTTGTTTGTTAGGCTGTCCTCCAGAATCTCTGACCGCCTCTGAACCTTTAACAAAAGTTCTTCCCTTTCTTCAGCCTTGATCTTCTCATTGCTCAGAAGTTCTTGTTGACACTTCAATTCCTTCTCAGTTTCGAGAATCATCTGCACAAGGACTGCTGCTCAATGGATACCACCCGATCCCCTTGTCTCCACTGCTGTGAAAATATGCCTTATCAACACTCTCCTGCAGGTTCATCTCCAGTTTGCTCTTCTCTGCTTGAAGTCAATCTAGTAAAGATGTGGGACTTCTGAAATCTGCAGCCCCCGTAAAAATTAAGATTAAAGGTGGTATACCCCCAGCAGTTAAGCAGTATCCTATCGTAGCAGAAGCTATTCCTAGTATCACTAAACAAATACAGAATTTTTTGGATAAGGGCATTTTAAGACCTACTGTTAGTCCTTTTAATACTCCCATTTTACCTGTAAATAAAAATCGAAAGGATGAGGATGGAAATCCTGAGTATCGGTTTGTTCAGGATTTACGAGCTGTAAATGAATATGTAGAACCCCCACATCCAGTAGTTCCCGATCCTTCTACTATCCTTACAAAAATACCAATTTGGGCGAAATACTATACTGTTTTGGATTTGACCGGAGCTTTCTTTACAATACCAATTGACCCTGACAGCCAGAGTTTATTTGCCTTTACATGGGAAGGTCGCCAGTATACCTGGACCAGACTTCCTCAAGGATTTACTGCTTCACCAACTTTGTTCTCTCAAATATTAAAGAGAGACTTACAAGATCTGGAACTACCGGCTGGGTCAGAATTGATACAATATGTGGATGATTTTTTAATTGCAAGTAAAGATTATGACAGTTGTGTAAAAGATACTAAATATGTATGTCTTAGATTATATGAGAAAGGACATAAAGCATCTCTCTCCAAATTGCAGTTTTGTGAGCCTGAGGTAAAATATTTAGGGTTTATACTAGCCGAAGGTACTAGGAAATTAGATCCAGATAGGGTACAGGCAATTCAGGAAATCGCTAGACCTTTGACTAAGAAACAAATGAGAGCCTTTCTTGGACAAGCTGGATATTGTAGACCCTGGATACTGGGTTTTTCAGAGATTGCAAAACCTTTGGTAGAGACTACTAAAGATGTGAGCCCAGAACCCATACCATGGACGGAAGAATTGGAAACAGCTTTTATGTCCATGAAGACTGCCTTGGTAAATGCTCCAGCTCTTGGGTTACCAGATTACAAAAAACCTTTTAAATTATATGTAACAGAGAACAGAGGAATTGCAAAGGGAGTATTAATTCAGAAGCATGGACCCTACGAACGTCCTGTAGCATACTATTCTGTCACCTTGGACCCAGTTATCAGAGGATCTCCATGCTGTCTGCGATCTATTGCCGCAGCTGCTGAGCTGGTGGAAAAGGCAAAGAATATTGTGCTAGGCCATTATCTCATAGTCGCTGTTCCCCATGAGCTTGAACTTTACTAACTAAATATGCAGAAAAAGCACTTTCTGCACAAAGGACACACAGATATGAAATGATCCTTTTGCTAACGGAGAATGTCAAACTTGAGAGATCAAAGACTCTTAACCCTGCTACCTTACTCCCAGTGACTGAACCTGAAAGATCGCACGACTGTGTAGCTGTCTTGAAAACTATAAGCAAGACTAGAGAAGATTTGAGGGACACGCCGGTGGAACACCCTGATTTGAATCTCTTTACTGACGGATCTTCCTTTTATCTTCACGGTAAGAGATTTACGGGCTTTGCAATAGCTACTGAAAAGTTTGTTCTCATCGCTGAACAACTTGCCACCGACATTAGGAGCTCAAGCTGCAGAATTGAGAGCACTAACCAAAGCAGCATTGTATGCTAAGAATAAACGAGTTAATATTTACACTGACTCGAAGTATGCCTATGGCATTTGTCATGCAGTCGGTGCATTGTGGAAAGAAAGAGGCTTTCTAACATCTGCAGGTAAAACCATTGCACATGGGTCTTTGATTAATGACTTGTTGTTGGCAATACAAGAGCCAAAGGAAGTTGCGGTAATTTATATACCTGCTCATACGAAGCGCACCGATCAGCTTGCGACAGGTAATGTTCTTGCAGATGCCGCAGCACGAGCCGCCGCTCCTAAAAATTACCCCACGACTGAAGTTGTGGTTGCTAATTTCTTTTCTATCCCAAACCCTGATACCCTTTATCATGATGTCCCGACCACCGAAATGGAAGAATGGAAGAAGATGCAAGCTGTGCAAGATAAAGGGATCTGGACCCTGAATGGTAAACCTCTATTGCCCAGAAGGTATGTACTGCCACTTGCCCGTTGGTACCATGAGAAGGGGCATGGAGGTCCCGAAGCAGTAGCCTCAAAGGTAACCCAGCTATGGGCAGCACCAGGAATCTCTTCAGCAGCTAAGAAACTGACTGAAGGATGTTCTTCGTGTAAGAGATATGGAGATATAAGGCCAAAAGTAACGCCAGGGAAGAGGCCGCCAGCAGTCTGTCCTTTTCAGAAACTTCAGATTGATTTTGCGGAAATGCCAGCCGCTCTCGGATATAAATATTTGCTGGTAATAGTAGATCAACTCTCTGGGTGGGTAGAAGCTTTCCCGACCCGGAAGAACGATTCAAAAATAGTTGTAAAAATCTTGCTTAAGGAAATCGTTCCTCGATATGGCGTGCCTGAGGTGATAGACTCTGACCGTGGACCGCATTTTACAGCAGCTATTTTATTACAAGTTTATGTAACCCTAGACATCAAAGGACAGTTTCATACTCCGTATCACCCACCTTCATCAGGGCAAGTAGAAAGAATGAATAGAACAATTAAGGAGAAGTTAGCGAAAGTATGCAGTGAAACTGGATTAAAGTGGCCAGAGGCATTAAATTTAGTTTGATGGGATCTTAGAACTACTCCAAAGCAGCCGTTAGGAATTAGTCCAGCAGAGGTCCTATCTGGACGAATTTTAGCTGTACCTGGTTTGCATATATTTCAGCAAAAACTGCACTACTGGATGGAGAGGAGAATGTCACTCAAGATTTATTATATTTACAAGATTCCTTTCAGAAAATTAGAAAATATGCATATTGATACCAAGGTGCGACACCAGAAGTACAGGTTCATGATTCTAAGGTGGGAGATGAAGTGCTTGGTAAAAACATTTAAACGAAAGAATAAGATGTTGCCAAAATAGGGAAGTAAGCCATATGATGCAAAGTTGTGCAACGAGACAATGTATCATGGGATGTTAGTGATTTATGGCAATGGGCTACTTCCTGGATTCCTGATTTTCCAACTTTAATCAAGAAGATTCTAATGGTAGTCGTTTTAGTCATAATCATTTGGATCATGGTAATGTTTGTATGTCAGTGTTGTGTCTCGTGTTTATCTCGATATACCCACCAGATCCTATTGTATCCGATAGGATAGCGAGTATCCTAAAAGAAAAGGGGGGACTGTTAGGAAAATGTTGCAATGCAGTGCTGCTGCACAAGCTGTTCTATCAGCTCTGTCCCCTGTATAGCCCCAGCCCAGGGCTGCAATGCACAGTCAACTGAATAGAGCATCAATAAAATGTTGTAACAAAGGTAATGATGGGCCTGACAGTTCAAAGGATGTTGATGTATGAGAAACTGACCCTTAGCTACCGAAGCGATGGGAGATCTATCATTGTGGCTACTAAGAACTGAGACGTACAGAACTTGAGGTAATCGTCCTTGAAGACTAAAGAAAGAAGAAACAAACAACGAAGTAGGTCGGACTCCAGAACAAGATGTGAAACCCGCTGTCAAGATAATAATGACTGATAAAGTATAATTCTGTGTATTTGGATTAGGTAATGCTTTGTAGGTGCATAAATACATGTATGCGAACTCATGTAAGCTGTCACTCTCTGCGGAGGTGACCCAACGCTGCTGGACCTGAATAAAATCCTAGAGTAACCCACGACGGAGTTCGAGTCTCCTTTAACAAAAGAAAGGGAACAAAAGGCAAGAAATATATGGTTTGTTTTCACCATGAAAGAAGTTATTTCAGGTCCTTCATGGATCTTCATTGGGACCTAAACTGTCCAATATATGGACAAGCAAACTGGAAAAAATGGTGTAAATAATGAGGTAACAAAATTAATTGAGAATACAGAATTTTTCAGGTTTGTCAAATCTAGAGCTGACAGTGAGTGACAAATAAGTGACATTTTGATGGGCTGCTACATTCAGCTGAGAGATTCTCTCCAAAATTAGAACAAAAAAAAACTTGAGGCAAATGTAGCAAGACCGTTCAGAGATATAGGAAGAGTGTAAGCAGGTTAGGTTCTGCCAATTTACAAATTAAATGATTAAGGAGGAGGATATGATGAAAGTCTATAAAATCACAAACAGTTTGGAAATAGAAAATAACCGTTCATTATTTCTCACAACACAAGCACTAGGAGATAGATATTACCAAAATGTCCAAAGATATTATCAGATAACAGGTTTAAAATGAACAAAAGGAAGTACTTTCTTATCCAACATATTAACTGAAATATGGAACTCACTGCCACAGGATGCTGAAGAGGACAATAGTATAAATAATTTAAAAATGAAATTAGATAATTTCATAGAAGATAGGTCTACTGATGGCTACTAAGCATAATGGACTGAACACAACCTCAGGCTTAGAACATCCCTAAAACACTGATTGCCAGGATCCAGCTGAGTTTAGGAAAGGTCACTCTGCATGGGCCCAATCTGGATTATTTCCATACCAACACTCCATGTCAGTCAAGGAAGGATACTGAGAAGCGGGGGAAATCTTCCTTTTGGCCTAGTATGGCTGGTTTATCTTGGTATCAGAGCTACTTTTCCTGTGCACTCTTCCTATGGAGAATACATAGACAATAAAAATATCGATGAGGATACATGTAAAATGTTTGGTTTTGAATAACACATGTCTTCCAACATGAGCAGCCTAAACTGAACATTGCCCACTGCACTGCTGGACTCCAGACAAGGTATCTGTGAAAAAAAAAAAAAAGTGTACAAAAAATTATTACTTGAATGAAAGAAAAATACTTCAAAATGGTTTAAACATTTATGTATGTGCTATGTTTTAAATGGGAACGGTTAATCCAGTGAGATTCTTCGTTTGCTTTAAGGGAAAGCAGCTGGAGAGGAGCAAAGCAATGAAAAAATAGTATACATCAAGGGAACAGTGGCACACGTGTTGCTATGTGTACATTATTTAAAATGTACATTTATAATTTAAACCATCATAATCATCTGCAATATTCTAGCCTAGAAAACATGGCATCTGCAATAGTACCAAATGCACACGTGCAAGTGTATGCAATCACTATTGCCACACAACCAATTTTTTCAGCTGTTGGTTAATATTGACAGACATTTGAAAACCTACACAAGAGAGAGCACACGCAGTCCAGTATGTACTTCAGCTGGAGTCCATGCTCTATCAGAGCACCCACTCCAGAAGAAACTGAAACTGAGGTGATGTGGATTCTCCGGTGTCCAATAAGACATTAATTACAATCGAAACTTTTCCTGCGGTGAGTACATCAACAGAAGCTCTTGAGAATAGCTCCCACACAGCTGTAGTGCAACCCTGCTAAAAAATCAACCATCCACCAGGCAGAAGTTCTTTGGAAACCAAGTTTAATTAGTTCCATAACAAATTAATTAGTTACTGAGTTCAACAGTAAGGCTTGGTTCTGAAATGTTTTTATGTTTGGCAGACACGATGAAGCCTCACTATCCTGTTGCAATATGCTTAAATCATTATGTGTGTGTGTGCGTGAATATATTTGTTACTTTTATTCAGTATTGTTTTCAAACTATTGGAAAATTGTACCAAAAAATTAAAAAAAAAAAAGGTACAGTCTCTAGCTTGGATTGACTAAACAGTGACATTGAATGAACCTTCTCATGAAAATGACAAATCTGTTGATATTTTATACTTTAAGACCAATGTAAATGACACTTTTTTTCATGAAGACTGCTTCTGTCTGTTCAAGACTGCAAAAACCATAAAGCCCTGTGCTGGAATGAAAGATACTGTTTGCTCTTTTTTTTCAGTTATCCTTTTATGAAAACATTTTTAAAGGTGACAAATTTGAACAGTTTTGAGTCCCAAGAGGCAAAGTAGCAGAAACATTTTATTTATATGCTTAATACATTGTGGAGATAAGTTTTGCCAGGCTTCTGTATCAATCACGCACATGGCCACAGTGTGTAAACTTCACACTCTTGCGTCATGATTCAGTCATGGCTTTTTACACAATAAAATATTATCTATTTATTTTAAATTTTCATATAATATTTTGCTGTGTCACTTTGAACGTCATCTTTTCAACTTCAAAGACCCGTAGTAATTTTCTCTAAAATTTCATTCAGATAACAAATACTTTAAAAAATCCATGTAAACCAGTGTTTATTAAGATTTTCCAATAAACCCATAACCATATGTGTAAGTAACATTAGCTAGGTGAAAAGCATTGCTCAGACAGTCAAGACCTTTCACTACCATGTGAAGGCAATGCAGAACAGATGATGCAAGTGTAATCCAGGTTATGAACTGAGGCTTGGCAGAGACAAAAAGAGGTTGACCCACACTTTTCCCATCTTCGTGCAATATTCTTTAGTTCTAACTCAAAATTCAGACAAGAAAAAAGATGAAGCACCCGATAGTTTTATTTTATTGATCCTACATTAATACGTTTGTTTGGTTGGTTTTTGTTTTTTTTTTTTTTTCCCAGTTACGGGGTGAAATGTAAGAATTTAATAAAAAACAAGAAAAAACCATAATGAATCCAAGTTTTCATGACCAAATGTTAAGGAGTTCCCAAGTCAAAAAAAGAACAAGTTTGCCCTGAACACCTACTCTTTCTTTCAAACGCCACCAGAGAGTCCTAAGAACATCAGATGGGTAAGGGAAATGGGGGGTATTAGAGTTCTTTAGGTCCTGCAGTTTGGTATGCAAGATATGAGACTTTGTGACCAGTATAGAAGTTGTGGCTCTGATTAGGAGCAGACCAGACAAATGAGCTAGACTGGGCTGGTCCTGCCTTGAGAAAGGCAAATGACCTACTAGTCTTGTGAGTAGTTTCAGCTTTGAGTAGTTTCTTCCATGTCCAGGATTCCAACTAAACTGGACAATGCAGAAAGGCCATTTGTCTTCATTGCAACAAATCCTTCTAGCTCCAAGAAGAGGAAGCTAGAAACTAGTTTAAGATCAGGTCACATAATCTGCAAATGCTGGGTCATTACATTGCAGTTAATTATCCTTATACTGAACCCTGTACTTTATAATTGACAAAAGTTACTCTTTGACATTACCAGCCACCTTTGAAAGCATTTGGAGATGTGTCCACCATTCCCTTACTAGCTGTTTCCCATGATGAATTAAATCTACTCTCAACATTTTTGTATTTTATTTCTTCTCTAAATGTATTTGACGTTAACCTTTTTGAGTAACTGACAGAATAAGAACTTCTAAAGATCTATATAGAATAAAATGTATTTTAAGACACACAACTGTCAACTATGTGCTCATCCCCTAAATACAATATCCATACAAATTATGCAGTTGTATAGATTCCCGACTCTATGAATTTTTTAAAAATGGATTAGCTATCCAGCAGAAGTTTATAGTGTTTTAAGAGTGCTTTGTATCACATTGATGTATTGATTTTAAATATAAATCCACTTTAACCTGAAGTAATTGACTATCTACATTAATAATAATGTTCAATTTTCATGAGGGAAGAGAATGGTTCTTGTGCCAAGACAAATGAAATTTATTACTAGAGACTATAGAGGTAGAGATGAAAATCATTATTAAAAAGTATGAAGAGGCTTTTGACAGAAGATCTGTTAAAGTTGCTTTGAGTAACTCTTGAAGAAAAACTGGGTTTAATAAAAAAATTTTTACAAGCAAATGAGAACATAAAAGGGCAGTTGGGTTGGCA